AAAAAAAAAAAAGAACCAAGATACTCATGCAATGGTACCAGATCCCAATGATGTATGTAAATGTATTTTACACCTAAAATGTACCAATAAACTTAATGGGGGGGGGGGGAGAAGTAACAGATGACTATTAATCCAACACTTTCTACCAGAAAAGATTAGATCAGGCTAACACTGACACACCCTACCCCCCAGTTTGCTACTATGTAATAGTAAAAATAGGGTACAATCCATTGGTCACTTGCTAAAAATATTCCTAGATATTTTACAAATAACACATAGCACTACATTTCAAATACTACAGACCTCTTCCTGCTTGTTTTTCCATCTGTTGTTTTAATTTATAAGTTTATAATAATAGGCAAAAATCAGAACATATTTAAAATACTTCTTCCCTATTAAGCCCCTTCAAAAACTGTTTAAATTATTTATTTTTGTGGTACTGGGGATTGAACCCAGAGCCTCATGCATGCTGGGCAAGTACTCTACCATTGAACTACATACCCAGCCCTTTCTATTTTATTTCGAGGCTGGGTCTTTCTAAATTGCCCAAGCTGGCCTTGAACTTGTGGTCCTCCTGCCTCAGCCTCCACAGTAGCTGGGATTACAGGCATGGGCCACACGTGCCTCTCTTTTTTTTTTCCAAAGCAATCTGATATGGCTGGAGATGTAACACAGTGGTAAGCTGCTTGCTACCAAGGGTGAGGCCCTGGGTTTGATCCCCAGCACCATAGTGAATAAATAACATTAAAAGTGCTGAGTGTTTGAAGGGCATCACTTTTGCTTTTCTTCATGAGTTTCGACTTTTTATGTTTTGTTTTGTTTTTTTGGTACTGGGGATCGAACTCAGGACCTTGTGCTTATGAGGCAGGCGGCGGAAACACTGAGCTAAATCCCTGGCCTGAGTTTCTACTTTTTAATAAATTCTCCTAGGAAGCAAGTTCCTTAAAGTCAGAGTTCCCACTTCATCTTCCTTAAAACAAGCTGTAGAGAACTTTCTACAGCGTGGGCATTCAGAGACCACTTAACCACTCACCTGCCGTTCCTCAGCTCCCACTCTGTGTGGAGTCTGTTTTCCTCCTTAACACAATGCCCCTTCTTCCTGCTATCATAGCACTCCTCCATGAGATAGTCATATTCCTATAAGCATTAAGATCCACCCTGCACCACACCTTCTTTATAAAAGATGGCACTGTGGTCAAAACACTTCACAGTGGGACTGAAAATACCATCGCTTACATGTGCAAACCTCTTTCGAAGTTAATAGCTACCAGCTGGGGATTTAGCTCAGTGTTTCTGCTGCCTTCCTCGCAAGTGCAAGGACCCAAGTTCAATCCCTGGTACAAAAAAAAAAAAGTTAATAGCTACAGTGATTTTAAATGTTTTGGCCTTATTTCTGCATCTTATCCTATAGGAAACAAATGAATCTATTAAGGCGTGTGTTATTTTTCTTATTTCACATCAAGGAAAGTAAACACCAGTTCATTAGAATGTGAAGTGGGACCAGAACAGGTTTCTGTACACATTCTAGTTAAACTTTATCATTTAGTCCACTGGTTTCTAAACGGAAGTTTAAAAAAATGAACACAATATTTTTAAAATTGTAAGAGTAACTATTTAAATTATTTACCTTTTTTTTTTTTTGAGACAGGGTCTCACTACGTAGTTCAGGATGGGCTTGGACTCACTGTGTAGCCCAGGCTGGCCTTGAACTCACAGTGATCCTCCTGCCTCAGCCTCCTGAGTGCTGGGATTACAGGCATGTGCCACCACGCCTGACTATTTGCCCATTTTTTTAAAGTATTTTAAGAGCTTCATAGTACAAACTGCAAGAATACGTAGGGCAGCTAGTTGTCTCCTGGCTCAGATACTCGGTTGCCTCTGTCAACATCTGGAGTGGCTTTCACAGTTACATAGCTTGAAACTTTTCTTCTGAAGCACATATTATATGGTTTACAGTCAGGGACAAAAGTATAAGGAACAGCAATGCAGAGATATAACTTAATGAAGAGCATAATAACGCACATAATTCTGATCTTGGCTTTCCCATTCTGAAAGAAGTTGTACTTTATTTTGTATGTGATACAGAAAACATGTACTGAAAAAGGACTGCTACCTAGGATAGATCAAAAACATCTACAATTCTGTAATAAAGAAATAACATTAAAATCTAAATAATCTAAGAAAATGGGCAAAAGATATGAATACTTTCAAAAAAAGATATTATGAACGGTCAAAGGCCACATGAAAAAGTACTTAAATCAGTCCCATCAGGGAAATGCAAATCAAAACCACCACATACCCATCAGAAAGGCTAAAACTTAAAAAGCTACAACACTGGCAGGGCATAGTGGTACATGCCTATAATCCCAGCACTCTGGAGGCTGAAGCAGGAGGATTGCTGTGAGTTTGAGGCCAGCCAGGGCTATATAGTGAGTTCAAGGCCAACCTAGAATACATAGCGAGACCCTGTCTCAAAAAAAAGGGCTATAGGGTCAGGGATGTAGCTCAGCAGTGCTGTGCTCGCCTGGCAAGCGCATGCTCTTGAGTTCAATTCCTAGTACAGGGGAAAAAAAAGGGCTACAGCACCAAAAATTAGCAAAGATGTATAGCACATAGGCCTCTCATACATTGTGGTGAAGATGTAAAACAGCAACGATGTTAGAAAAGGGTCTAGAATTTCTTAAAACATCCACTGATTTTACTTAGACATATGTATTCACCAGTAAGGATGTATTTCACAAAAAAGTCTTAGAATGTTCAGAGCAGCTTTATTTATTAGAGTGCCAAACTAGAAACAATGTGCTCATCAATAAGAGAATAGATTAATTGATGTTATAGTCATACAATGGGAACCACTTAGCACTTAAAAGGAATGATTATTGATATATATGGATTAATCTCAAAAACACGTTGAGTAGAAGTCTTACAAAAGGAAAGCTACTGTATGAGTCCATTTTCAGTAAGCTTGAAAACAGACAAAAACATATCTACGATGGTACAAAATTCAGAGCCGAGGTCCCCTCTAGGGAGGCGGGAGAGGAGAGGACTCCCAGAGGTAGATGGCATTGTCTGGGTGGAGGTGACGGCTAGGCTTTCACAGGCATCTGTCACTGCTTGGCAAAGGTCCACACAAGGTCTGTGCATTTCATCTGAAGTAAATTTTATATTAAAATCCTGACAGAGCCAGGGATTTAGCTCAGTGGTTCCACCACCTGCCTCACAAGCGCAAGGACCTGAGCTCCTTCTCAGTACCAAAAAAAAAAAAAAACATGACAACTTTGCAAACAAACTGAACCCAAGTTATATATGCTGACCTATTTAAGGACAAGTATACTGTCTGCAATTTACTAGGAAATGTGCTATGCAAATTACATTAATGAATGGATATCTGGATGGACAGATAATGTGATAAAGCAAGCTTAAAGATCAATGACAGGATTAAGAGGTGGTGGGTATTAAGTGCTCATTATAAAATTCTTTCAACTTTTGCCTATGTAAAAAATTTTCACTGGGCAAGGTGGTGCATGCCTATAATCCTGGTACTCAGGAGGCTGAGGCAGGAAGACTGCCTCAAGTTGAAGCCAGTCTGGGCTACACAGTGAATTCAAGGCCAGTCTTAACTAGTGAGAACCTGTCTCAAAACACAAAACAAACAACTAAAAGATTATACAAACCAGGGTATTAAAATATTCGGACTACCTCTCATTATTTATAAAATCCACTTATTCATTAAATTCTATTATTCCTCTTCTTATCTTCTGATAAAAAATAAAATAATCTATGATTGTAGAAAACAATTCAAACATTATAAAGACACATGTAGCTGGGTATGGTGGTACACACTTGTATTCCCAGTTACTCAGGAGGCTGAGGCAGGAGGATCATAAGTTCACGGCTTGCCTGGGCAACTTTTGATTCTGTCTCAAAATAAAATTTTAAAAGTGGTAGATCACTTGCCTAGCGTGTGTGAGGCTTTGAGTTCAATCCTGAGTATTACAAAAAAAAAAAGGAGATCTCTTTTATAACCCATAACTCACCAAAAGTAATCAGTTTATAGAATATGTTCCTCTAGATTTTTTCTGAGCCTGAGAAACACACAGATTAACATTAACTGACAAAAATGAATTAAAAGGCAGGACATTGACAAAAGTACTGAAATCTGAACAGGAAGGAGGAACTGAGGCCTGACGTGGAAAGTGACACCCTGGACCTCCCAGGTAAAGAGGACGGTCTGGCCAAGGAAGGCAGAACTGAGATCTTTAATTTGGAAAACAGAGCTTTAGAACCTGCCCCGAATCACATAGGTGACCCTATAAATAGCAGTTAAGAAGAGAATATGGTTCAAGTATATATAAGACTCAGAAAAAGAAATTTGAACAAAGTAAATTTTTAAGTGCTAAGAAAGAAAAGACTAAAGAAACTACAGAGGTTGTATTTCATGTTCTCTATTAAGTTCAAATAAAAACTGTCACACATATAAAAATGAGTGATGACCCAGAACGGATATAGAAAATTGACAGCAAATAGTAAAGGCCAAAATTCAAAAGGGGCTGGGGCTAAGCTACATCAAAAGCCATCGAGTTACTTGATCAGCACAGAGGGGTGTTCAAGCGCAAGTTAGGCAGTCACGTCAACCACAGCACTATCTCAGATGCTAACTGGAAAGAATTTACACATTGCTCTGGCCTCAGGGTCTGAGTCTCAGTTGAAAACAGAAATAAAAACAAGTGCATAATATATAAATGAAGATGGTAAGCAGGCTGCCTCCTGGGCACAGTTCCAGCCTAGCCCATCCCGCTCGCGGTCAGTGGTCACAGAGGAGCAGCATACCGGAGTGTGATGGCTCTTGCCACAGGGTCATTACTATGAATCACTGAGAAAATCCTTTTCACGAATTCATCCACATTCAGAATCTTCTCCAAATGCTTCTCACTTTGTTGGGTAACTTTAAGAACACACAGCCTCAGGAAATTGTTCCTAGGAAAACCAGAGATGAGATGAATTAGGTCACTTTTGGACAGCAGTATTTAATTTGGCATCAAGGTAACACTAGGGATACTGAGTTTCATCAACAGGCAAATGGGTTTCAACCCTACCATTATCAGCACCAGCACCAAGAGTGACCGAAGGACATACTTGGCTCAACACAGCAAGCACAGGCAGCTGGGTGTGCCACCGGCCTGGCAGTGACCAGCAGCAGCCCTGGAGGTGGCTTCACCTCCAAACCCAGCCAGGAGGTCAGGGCCCCTCCTCTCTGGCCAACTCTGAGATCCCCTTCTCCTTTCAGCCTGGGAATCGGTGGACACAAGCAGAAAGAAGTGGGAGGGGTGGCAGGGAGGAAAAGGGAAGAGGGTGTTTATCCAGGCCTCACATGTTTCAGACTTCACAGACAGGCAGCTCATGGTATAAAAGAAGTTAGGAAACTAAGCTGGAAACTTTTCAAAACAATCTACATGAAGCCACAGACTTTACTGAAGTCTATATACATAATGTATTAGGGTCATCCTAATGCCACTTAGCCTGTCCCCAAAGAAACAAGTACTCAGAATCATGCACCAATTAGAACCACCTGACCATCCTAGTAGGGAAAGGAAAAAGACCACAACACAAAACAGAAGTAAGAACACTGTGTCAGGAAATGGAGGCTTCAAAAGACTTACCCAACTCTGAAAACATCGGCTAACTTCAGGAATGCAGAATTGATGAGAATGGGGAATGGGTACTTCTGGAACAGCCTAGGAAAGCGAACCACTGCCTCACACTGTTCCCCAAGCTTGCCCGACCTCAGACCTGTCCAATCAGAGGAGAGGACGACTTACAATGTGCGGCTGCAAGGCCAAAACAGCAAACACCAACTTACCGTATCACATGGCAGCAACCATTCTTAACAATTAGCGGGAGTGCAACCTCTGCATTCTCATTCAAAAATTAAAATGGCATATAAACTAGTAATCTGGTAAACATGCTTTTAGATGCATAATAATGAAAAAGAATTTTTTAAAAAGATTAAAAATTAAGGACATTCAAGGACATGAAATAAATGTCAACACATTTAAAGGACTAAAATTATACAATTTATCTTCTCTCACAACAATGGAATTAAAAATCAATAAGGAGAAATATATCGTGAAACGTCCCAACTATTTGGTAATTAAGCACGCACTTCTAACTAACCCATAGGTGAAAGGAGAAATCAGAAGGAAAATTAGGAGAGTATTTTGAAGTGAGTGAAAATGAAAGGTCAGTTTGTGGGATAAAACTAGTGTGTCAAGAACACTTATCACACTACATACTTAATCGTGTCAGGAAAGAACAACAGAAGCCAATCAATGATCTGACAAAGGTGCACAAAGGTGCCAACCAACATCATTCAATGGAGAAAGGATTATTTTCTTAAACATGTGATTCTGGAAAAAACATAATCACATGAAAAAAAAATTCAGCCTCAACTCTTAACTTGCTCCATATACAAATATTAAAATGAACCTAAAATATAACACCTAAATTTCAGGGTTAAAATTATAAACTGTGCAGCAGAAAACATAGAGGAAATCTTTCTGACCTTGTGTTAGGCGGAGAATTCTTAGTTAAAACACAGAAGACATGGCCCCCCAAAATAAGAAGCTGATCTCCACTAAAGTTAAACACTGCTGCTCAGGCTGGGCATGGCTGTGACCGCCTGCAACTCCAGCAGCCCTCAGGAGGCTGAAGCAGGAGGATCACAGAGGTCACAAGGCATCTCCTCAAAAAAAGTAACAAAGCAAGCTTCTACTCTACAAAAGATAACATTAGAAAAATGAAAAAGCAAGCCATATAGTGGAAGAAAACATTATAGAACATGTTATCTCACTCTGGGAAGCTGAGGCAGGAGGACCCCAAGTTCGAACCCAGCCTGGACAACTTAGCAACTCAGTGATACCCTGTCTCAAAATAAAAATAATTGAAAAAGGACTAGGGCGGTACCTCAGGGTGAAGGTCCTGGGTCAAATCTCCAATACTTCAAAAACAAACAAAAAACCCTACATTATCCAATAAAGGACTTCATCTATATTTGTTATAACTCAATAAACAATCCATTTTTAAAATGAGCATTATCTGAAGGGAGGAAATATGGATAGCAAGTATAAATATATGAACAGATGTTCAACACTGTTAGTCATCAGGAAATGAAAAGTTTAAATTATAATAAGATATCAGTACACACTTCATAGAATGGCAAAAAAACTGAAATTCAAAAAAAGACAGACAGTACGAAGAGCTAATGAGGATATGGAGCAAGGGCCAGGGAATTAGCTCAGTGCACTGTGCCTGCCTTGCAAGTGCAAGGTCCTAAGTTCGATCCCTGGTACCAGGGGAAAAAAAAAAGGTTAAGGTTCCAAAAAGCTGGGAGACATTACAGGGACTGGGGATTTAGCTCAGTGGAGCCGCACCTGCCCTGCAAGCACAAGGTCCTGAGTTTGATGCCCGGTATGCAGGGTGGTGGGAGATGATATGATATGGAGCAAACATAACTTTCAAACATTTCAGATAAACATGCAAAGCTATATACAGTGGAACCTCAAGTTATGACTGGCCTGACATATGAACAACTTGGGTTAAGTAGGTTAATGGAAGATTATCTGCTTGTTATCTATAGCATACACCCAGGTAAACATCCAGATCTCAGCTGTACTGAGTTACAACCAGCCCTCAGGAGCCAATCAAGTTCGTAAATCAAGGGTCTACTGTAGTTCTTTGAAAAACACTCTGGCCCTTTCTTAATAAAAGTAAACATACATGAAAACATATCCACACAAGGATCTGTATGCACATGCTCACAAACATCCCAAACTGGAAACAACCCAAAGTTCATCAGTTGGTGAATGAATACACAAGTCTGATCTATCCATGCAATCTGAACTACTACTGAGCAATAAAAAAGCAGCCAGTTACTGATTCATGTAACAACATGGGTAGATTGTTAGGCAGCTCTGGAATGATTCCAAACACATACAGTTTGCTGTGTGAGAGACATATGTTTTGCTGTGATAAAAACATGTAGTGTCGTCCCCCTCCTTGTCACTCTCAGGGTGTGATTTAAGGTGACTTATGTGGTTAAAGTAAGACCATCAAAGATCATATTGTGATTTCATGAACTAAACAGTTTACTACCACATAGAGGTTGGCTGTTTGTTTTTGGTGGCACTGGTGAGTGAGCCCTGGGCTGTCCCATTGGGCTACATTCCCAGCACTTTTAATTTTGAGACAGGGTCTAAGTCACTAAATTGCCCAGGCTGGGTGGGGTCTAACTTTCGATTCTCCTGTCTCAGCTTCCCAGAGTGCTGGGATGGCAGGGATCGGCTACCATGTCTAGCACAAAGAGATTTTATTCCTTGTTCACATTATTTAAAAAGGGAATAAATAACTAGAACAAATCTCACAGGGAACACATTGACAAGAGACGGCTGGGTGATCATTTTATTTGGTGAGCAAGTTCTGATTTGGTGATTCATGAAATCATACAGTACTTTGAACATCTCTTTATTCTAACCATGCAAAGCAACCTCAAAATCATTATGTTGAGTGAAAGCCAGACCCAAAAATCTACATATTTATGACCAACACAGTGCTCTGTAGTAGGTTATGTGACCAAAACACACACAATCCTGAGACGTGGACCAACTGGGAGTTTAGGTGGTGGTAGGCAGTGCAGGGCTATTCTGCCAGCCTTCGAGCTGCTCTCCGAATCCTCTCTAGCCAGCACTGGCACCGCTGAGGGCCTTCCTCGATCTGCACAGTGTTGACCAAACTGTCTCTGCCAAAATCTCTGAGAAAGCCAGACATCAGGGCTGGTGATGTCACTTAGTGGGAGAGAACTTGGCCAGCACATCCCGAGTCCTGGGTTCGATCCCCAGCATCAAAAGGAAAATTAAAAAATAAAAAGTACACCCCAAGCTTCATTGGCAACTCTTCTGCTTCTTTTCCAACAGAACAACTGGACCCTAAGCCAATCAGAACAGTTGCTACTGAGTGAAACCACCTCTTCTGTTGAGTGTGTTCTCCAGAGATCTGGGCTCTGTTTCTCCTGCCTTAAACACTGTAAACGGGGCAGGGGACCTCTCTGTAGGACAATAAACCCTGCGTTTTATGAAATCTTTGATCATCTTCTTTTAAGCACATAAAACAATCTCAAAATCCTCATGCTGAGAGAAAGAAGTCAGGCCCCAAAGACTATATAATTAGTGTATAATTCTATCCTACATGACATTCTGAGAAAGGCAACACTGTAGGAACAAAAACAGATTCGGGGCTAAGAGAGGGGACTGACTACAAAGAGGCACAGGGAAAGTTTCTGGGGTGAAGGAAAATGTTCTATGCCTTTATTGTGGTCATGGTTTCATGACTGCATACAAACTGCCAAATTTTACCATATAGAATTATATCACAATAAACTTGATTTTTTAAAATGCAAAAAACAAAAGCAAACAAACAACAGTTATGTTAATGTCCTTTAAAAAATTTACTGAGAATTAATATCTTGATGTGGATTTAACAGCAATGACTTTAAATATTTCTCTTTTTTAGTATTTTACTATTCACAAAATGCTAATTATGTCTGCACAAGGAACAAGTGCCCCAGAATACGCCTGTTCAGTAACCTTTGCTTACTGTTAAAAAATGACAAAGGAAATCTTTTTCCTATTATCATAATGTTTCCATATGAAAGGCAACCATGAAGAAAATCTGAGTAGGCAATTTCTACAGTTTGCTAATAGGTAATATAATGCTCTCATGTTAGTTTTCTGGTACCTGAAAGATATTTCCTCATGGGAAGAACATTAGTGCTATCAGCACTGCTACTACTCTGAGGAGACGAGAGGGATGGAAGGGGAAGTAAAAAGGATCAAGATGTGTTATGTATATATAACTATTCCCCATGATGGATACATTTATCATGTAGTGCAAACATATACTAATAAAAAAGGAGGGGGAAAGGGACCACCGCCAACAAATGGCAGGTAAGATTCAATCCTGGCAAATTGGGCTCCAACGCCTATGGTCCTAAGCCATTACGCTAAAATGCATCTCTAGCAAGCAATTAGAAGGATACAGCTTAAAACCGAAGAATGGGACATTTGAATCAATGATTCCAGAGTGGTAGAATTCTGAAGGATGACAAACTTCATGGAAGGAAAAAAGAAAAACAAATTATAATAAAGTTGGGGTTTTGATCACATTTTCAAAATAGCACAAATTTCCCGGGAGCATGTATCAGCAGTTCTTAGCTGCAAGCAATAGAAACTGGATGATTAGGTAGAAAATGGGTTTATTCGAAGACTAATAAACGTTTTTAAGGCTAGACTTCTAAGAACACCTAGTACCACACTGACAAACTCATTAGATGAGGACAGCTGGTGTTGCTAGGAAACACCTGAGGCTTCAGAGAGCTCTGCAGCCCTCTAGGAATATTATGTTACTGCTGCTGCTGTACATTAGAAGTGCTGTAGGCCCTGCTGCTGCCCAGGCAGGAATGCATGAGAACACGCTTCAACTCTTCCTTCTTACACCTCTCACTCCCAAATCAGAGCACAGAGAAGATGCATCTGAATGGCACAGCCTTGGTCAAATACTGCACTCTTCCAAGAAAAAACAGCAAGTGAGTTTTTGTTTCCACGTTGGTGAGACAGGGCTTGTGATACAGGACACTCCCCAAGCACAAGAAGAACGTTCAAAAGATGCTAGGTAACCAATACTGTGAGTACATCCACTACAAAGACCACCACTAATAAACCGTTACCATTAAAGAACATTTTGGCAACATCAGGATGATTCAAAATGGAACCCTAACACACACATCTTAGAATCTATTATGAAAAAGGTGTCTGTTTTAGGAATGGGGTAGAAATACAAACACAGGTACATACCACACATTATAAGGTAAACTAACAATCCACAGCTTAAAATGATACTGGCAAAACCTTAATTAATATTTTAAAAAGTAGAAAAAGAAACAATTGGAATGATGGTCAACTCAACTAATGATGCATCAATAATTAATAAGCATCCTTTCTCAAAATTTCAGAAATTGATTATAAATGCACATGGTGAGATGTATGTAACATAGGGCAGTATGCACAGAACACTGATCTAGAATCCTAAATGAACTAATTTTAGCTTATAAATAAATGTGTAGGAATGTTTAATAGCTCACTTTTTAAATAGCAGATATAATCATACATAAAAGTGAGTCTGGGGCCAGGGATTTAGTTCAGTTGTTCCACTGCTTGCCTCGTAAGCGCAACATCCTGAGTTTGATCCCTGGTACCAAAAAAAAAAAAGTGAGTCTGAGTTTCAGTGAACAGCCTGGAGTTCAAATTAGCCCATTAAGGGACCACCAACTAGGCCTGAGAATTCATACTTCTGGTGCTGGCTTTTAAATGGCTCTGTGTTACTAAGAGTCTGACTCAAATCTTTATGCGCTATTACTTATTGACACTGTCACATCTTTTAGTCTTGCAGCAGAGATTCTCAAAGAATTTGACTCAACATGGATCACATGTCCACTCCAGAACCGATCTGCTACAGCACAGAATTAGTCACCTGGTACAAACCTGGCTGCTGAGGTCAATTTCTTTAGGATGAATTATGGGACTAAGTCCAAAAAAGTTCATCATGACCACCAACTATACCTGTGCCAATATGGACAACATAATAGCAATCTGTGGTCTCTTTTCACAGTGAGAATTCAGATGTTTTGGAACATGGGTGAAGTGATGGTATCCGAAGGGGAAATCAGAATGCACAGAAATTTGTCCTGATTTACATCACTTCTGTATTTCATAATTAAATTTTTCACTAAGCACACCAGCAAGCTTTTCAAGTTGCACTAAGTTCGCCAGCACCTCTACTAGCAACTCCACCCTCTACATTTCCTCACTTCCCAGGGCACCAGCGGCTAAGAAAAGGAGTAAGAGTCACTCTCTTCCCCACTGCTTTCACTTCATTCTTTCCAGGCTGAGTAATGTTACCTAAGAGAGCAATGTTACCTCTTCCCCCAGGGTGAAAGAGATCTTGTTTAATAAGTTTTCCCAAATCATTAGCACAATTTCCCATCAGCTGAGGTAAAAATGCTTAGACTAAAGTTACATTAGTGAAAGTTAAAGTAATTTTTGTGAGACACATTCTTCATGCCTATTGTGTATAGTACCAATCATCTGTGTGTCCAATAAATGTAAACAGTATTTGACTATGACATGTAAGTCTGCTTGCACGTGCTCAATCCTCACAGCTCTGTAAGCATAGCTATGCATCATGTACTGTAAACATGTACCAATAAAAATAAAAATTGTAGAAGGGGGGGGGTCTCCAGAAAGTCAGTAGGCAAATCCAAGTCAGAGAGTCAAGAAGTGGCTTAACGTGGACTTAAAGACTATTCCTTATGACCGCTAGTCCAGTTCTCCATACATTATATTAATTATTAAGTGTGTAAGCCGAGTGTGGGGGCACATTGCCTGTAATCCCAGCACTTGGGAGACTGAGGCAGGAGGATTGCCATGAGTTCAAGGTCAGTCTGGGCTACAAAGCAAGACCTTGTCTCAAAAAATAGTAATAATAATTAGGTGTGTATACACCAGCTGATAAAAATTTTCTCCATATAATAAAATTCTCCAAGTACACGAAACAAAGCTTTCATACGGATACTGATATTCATATCTAAAAAGGCAGACCTCTTCAGCATTTAATACATGCATCTTTTGCATACCACACCTTTTTTCTTTTTTTTTTTTTTGGTACCGGAGATCGAACTCGGGACCTTACGCTTGCGAGGCAGGCGCCGAAACCACTGAGCTAAATCCCCGGCCTGCATACCACATCTTTAATGTGTACAATATTCTCTCCGGCTCTGTGGTGCTATACCAGTTTGTAGACAATACATGGAAGCTGGATGAAATTAAGTGGCTTGTCCATGATCTCAAAATTCCCAGAACTGGAATTCAACTCAGTCTAACCCCAAAACTCCCTCTACTCCATCAGTGTTTTTTGCAGTCACTTTCACTGGTCGGAAAATCGGGGGGCTGTGTCCTCAAGTGGTCAAAACGGATCCCGTACTAGACCTCAAGGCTCGCTCAGCTGCTATGGGTCAATCAGGCAACCCTTCAATTTTCCCGCAATCCCAACAGCGCAGCCCCGGCCCCAGAAAAACTAGGCGCATGCGCGTTCCCAGCCTCTCCCGAGCCCACCACCACCTGGTGGCGCCACTTCCCCCCACACCCGTTTCGCCCGCTCAGCACGCTCTTTCGAATACCTTTGTCCAATTCCATAAGAGCGGAATTAGCGTCCAGTTCCTGTTCGCCATAGCCAGCATCTGCCAGGAAGGACTTAGTTGAGTTTGACGCCATGGCCCGAATAGTTACACGACTAGCCTAGTCAGAAAGATTGCAAACTCTGCCTTAGGACCGCCATCTTCTCCCACCGCCTTCTCGCGGATTTTTTTCCTCCGTTCTCCAGCAAGCCGTGTTACGCATGCGTCCTGGTCACCCCACGGTTCGCCGGCGCCTCAGTGGGCCCCCCGCGCAGGCGCTCAGGGAGCTCGCGAACTCCAGGTTCCCGCGGCTGGGAGAAAAGGAGGCGGGGATTTCGAGGGGGAAGTGACTCTGAGGCGCCCGGACGCAGCGGCGGGAGCCAATCAGAAAGCGTGACGTCAGTTTGGCGCGGAGTTTGGCGGCCGGGGCTTACAGTGGCGGGAGTTGGAGGCTATAACGGGTCGTGTTGTCGGGAGGGCGAGTTTAACGATTTCTGCTGAATTTAGGGGGCATTTTCACGGCTTTTTCCTCAGCTGAGCCTTTTCGCCTGGCCCAGATGCTCTTCAATTCGGTGCTACGCCAGCCCCAGCTGGGCGTCCTAAGAAATGGTGAGTAACGGGCTTAACTGCTGCTCGCGGCCGGCGGGATTCGCCTCCCCCCGAAACGCTCCACTTCGAATCCGGGCCGATTCCAACTCTGCTCCCGAGGTCCGACTTCTCCCTTGGCCAGAGTGAATTAATGTGGGCGAGGACGAGCGAAGGAAGTCGTACTTTGGTTCCCTCCCGACTCTTTAAGTCGTAATCAGGCTTTTGAAAAGATACTGTAGGCCGGAGGAGGGAGGGGCGTTGAGTTAACTTGGCCTCCCGGGCCCCTGGCTGCTGACGTCAATGTCGGGCGTTCGCCAGAAAACGGTCGTGTTGGGGGCGGGGGCGTCTCGGCAGCGATCCGGGGCCTCGGCTCGGGTGCGTGCGTTTGTTGCACAACTTTCGTGACCCCCACTCTTTGCTGCGAGCGTGACCCGCTGTTAAGGAACTCAATCAAGCGGAGACGACAGTGCATCTGTTTTTAGCAGGGTCGAAAATCTCACCCCCTCTCATTACTATCCGGCCATAAAAATTCTGAATTATAAAGTGAAAGATACCCATAACCACAACCTCTAGGGAGGACCACTGTTACTAGATAGAGGGCTATTATTCTAGGTGCTTTTTGGTGCCACAGGTAATAGCCACAAGCGGGATCAAAACTCTTTTTCAGTTCATGGTGTAAATTGGGCATGTTCTTATATTAGTATGTAGAAATCCAACTTATTGTCTGCAGTTCTTTAGGCTTCTTACATTAAAACATTGGCAATAAGAGGTTTGAGGTTAGGTCGGGTGTCATCAACCTGAATCTTAATGATAAAGACTTTACTGTGCAGGTTAATCTTGCGCAGGATGAAGTCGCACTCATTGAAAGGTTGTTTGTACCCAGAGGGGTTTTTTTCCCCCTCCCTTGAAGCCACGTGGAAAACGAAAAGAGAAGAATCGGAGAAAAGAACATTTATACTTAAGGAATAGGTGCAAGAAAAGGATTTTAAGAAACAGACTGATTAGTCTCTCGATTCCCTGTTCCCAATCTAAAACTTTATGTCATCCTTGCCTATTTCCTTGTGGCATAATCTTTGTAATTACACTCAATGCCACCCGACCCGTCCCTGACCTTGGGTAACTTCTCCATTCTCTGTTTTGAGTGGCAGTGCAGCTGGATGGTTGAGAACTCTGGAGTCAAACTGCCTGAGTTTTCATTTCAGCCCTACTCCTTACCATTTGTGTGACCTAGGCAAAGCTATTCAGTTTCTATTTCGTGACAGACTTCTAATTCTCTAATCCATCTGTTTTCTTTTTCTCCGTCCTTTCTTCTGTTCACAAATGCTAATTGTTGTGTAGTGGGGGCACTGAAATTCATTGTCATATGTCACTCTCTGAAATCTGTACCACTGTGGCCTTCCCCCTTTACCTTGGTTGGTGTGCTACCTTTGGCTCCTTTTGCCTATTCCCAGGGATGATTACAGCCATAAGTAGGAATTCTTCCTCTACTACCTGCAACCTTCCATCCCCTTCCTTGTATTTTAGATTCATTTCTATAAAAGCTGTGTGGGTTGATCTTCACCTAATTGGTCAGTCTCACAAACATCTCAAATTCAAATGCCTAAAACTGAACTCACATTTCCCCCAAAGCTGCTATATGCTATATTTAGGAAATGGCCCTATTAGTTTTTGTTTTTGTTTTGCATTTCTGACCCTTTATTCCTTCCATGCTATACAACCAACCAACCTCAGGTGCAACTTGAGTTATGATGGTGACCCTATCATTTTAAACTAGTATTCCTAGTCAGGAACCTGAGAGACACTCAAAAACTCCATCTTCAACACTATTATCCATTCAAAAAGTTCCCTTAAAATCTCTTGACGCCGCTGTCTTCTCTTCATTCCCGCTGATTCTGCCTCTTTGCCATACATTGGGTCTTTACCATTTCAGTCTTTACCATTTCATTTCTCTGTCCTTGACCCCAAAACTGTACCTTCTTCTTTGGCAGGTATAACAAGTCCCCTAAATAGCTTCTTAGTTTCCTTTGCTCCAATTTATTCTCCATGTTCCTGCCAATGACCTTTTAATATGGACGTTGGATTAGTTACTTTCCTGTGTATTTTCTTAAATTGGTATCTAAAAATTTTTATTATAAATTTAAACATACAAAAAATATAATTTCTGGCTATGCTGGAATACTGACATCTTAAAAATGCTCTATCTTAAATGTATCTCATAGAATATAAATACTATAGTGACTTGATAATCATGTCATCTGTTTTTGAAAATGTGAACAAACTTTAATGCTTGGTGTTCTACATTTTTTTTCCTCTTGAACTTATTTCCATTTCATTTTGCTCACAGAATATATCCTAATGTAAGTTAATTTTATGCTTTAAAAGCTCTTTTACTGATCACCCTATCATACCACTCCACATTGGAAAAGTATATTTAAATTGTTATTTTCTGTGATTATAGACTCCAAGGGCTAGAAGTTTCCCTTGGGCTAATTTATCATCATAGTTATTGGTAGGATGCAATTGATATAAACAGTATAAGTTAATTTTGATAATTATTAGGCAAAATAAAATTTTATTGAAAATATTTCATTTATAGACATGGATTTGGGTGTTCACGATACCTTTATTAAAGGGACTATAAGTTCTTACAGGGAAGAGAGGCAGAAAACTCGTTTTTATTTAAAAATATTTGGTGAATACTAGAGTGATTGCAAGGTATAAGATGGGGCGTGGGAGTGCTTTTCTTATGTAAAGTGGAAGGAAATAATGAAGGTGCTGGGGGGGAGGAACTTCTCAGCTCTCTCAGCCCGATCAGTTTTAGAAAACCGTTATGTATGGAAGTTGAATATCTGGAAACTGGTCCTCTGAAAACTCTTAATACCCTGTATACTTTTTGAGAAATCTTTGTGTAACCCAGTGGCCTTGTTGTACACTAAGGAATGAAAAGGCTTTTCCAGATGAGTGTTGTGGGAAAAATATGGCATGTTTATGTTCAGGAAACAGGTTCATGTCCATAACACAGTAAAGACGGAGAAGTCACAAAAAATGGCTTATCAATGAAATGTGTGTCGTGGACCTTGGAGAAATGGGGGAGTAGGCAAGGACTACTCAGTAAGTCACCTTAGGCTGTTGGTCAGTTTGGGTATTAGTTGTAGGCAATGAGTCAAAGTGAGGAGTCAGTGTTTAATTGTAAGACAGTGAAGATTTCCAGAGTACATTACCCTCAGTTCTACCAAATTGTTTAAGATTCCCTTTTGAATTTATGTCTAGCAGTCATTAGACATACCACACATGCACATTTGCATATCCTCAGAACAAGGCTTTTCTTTTTAAGTTTATTCTGTAATGGATATTTGTGAACTGTGCATAAATGATTATTGCATTCTTGTTTTTGTGGTCTTTAACAGATTGTTTATAATGATATCTACTTATAAAACTATGAGATAATGCTGCCAATAGTAATTACTAAATCTGTGATTTCTTTGCATTCTTTCTGTAGATTCTTTCAGATTATCTCTATAAATATCCACAACTGCATAGGTTCTTGTCAGACTAAAATGTCTTTACTAAGCAGTGCTTTGTATGGAAAGTGAGAATTTACGTACCCTAAAATGTGACTGTGTTAATTATTTAGACAGCTCTCAATAAATTGTAAACTCATTGTTTCCTCAGTTGACTAATGATCAGTTGATTCTCAGTAATTATTTGTTTAATGTTGTTTAATGAATACTTTTCTTCACAGGTTGAGCATCCTTAATCCAAAACCCAAAAACCCAAGCTGTTCTAAAATCTGAAAGTTTTAAAGTGCCCTTATGTGCTCAAAAAGTTTCAGGCTTCCAGGGCTGGGGATTTAGCTCAGTGGTGCCACCGCCTGCCTCAAAAGCGCAATGCCCCAAGTTCGATCCCTGGTACCACAAAAAAAAAAAAAAAAAAAGTTTCAAGCCTCTGATTTTCAAATTAGGAATGCTCACAAGGTAAAATCTATGCAAATATTCCACAACCTGAAACTTCTTGGTCCAAAGCATTTTAGGTAAGAGTTACTTGACCTTAGTATATTTAAAATGTGCTGCCCTACTTATTAATATGATAAAAACACGTCTCCAAAGATGGCTTACTATTTAGGACAACCATGGTGCACATTAGATTTCTGATCCAGCATAATGAACTTTTCCTCCACCCTGAATTTCTTGCTCTCTGTTCTAAATACAACTGGAAAAAAATTTTGCCAGCTATTCCTGAGAGGACTAACATCTAGGATATATACAGAACTCAGAAAAATTAGACCCCCCCCCCAAAATAAAAGACCAAATAAAGTAAAAAAATGGACAACCAAAATAAATAGGTCACTTCTCAGAAGAAGAAATACAAATGGCCAATAAATACATGAAAAGGGTGTTCAACATCTCTGGCCGTTAGAGAAATACAAATTAAAACAATACTGATATTCCATCTTACTCCAGCAAGAATGACTATAAGCAAAAAAATCAAATAATAACAAATGCTGGTGCAGTAGTGGGGTGGGAGGACCCTTCTATGTTGCTGGTGGGAACGTTATGGAAATCAGTACGGAAATTCCTCAAAAAAATTAAAATAGAAATTTCCTTTGACCAAGCTATTCCCACTAGATATTTTTCTAAAAGAGGTTAAGTCATCATATTACAGTGATAGATGCATACCCATGTATATAACAGCACAATTTATATTAGCTAAATCTTGGAAATGGCCTATTTTGCCCATCAACAGATGAATAAAGAAAATGTATTTATATACAATGGAGTACTACTCTGCCATAAAAAAGATAAATTTGAGGTATTCATAGGTAAATAGATGCACCTT